AGTTCATTGAAATAACACACTAAACTTATTTATTACATTCCTATTTAATGTGAATATTTGATTTGAAGATTTCAAAAACTGTGACAGTTAATTTTGATTTTAGTCCAGTAGTCTTGTGAGGTTGAGAAAGGAATTGATGTAAGTTAAACTAAGAAAAAAATCATATTTTGTTGATAATTTTAATTCTTCGAACCATTGAGAGATGTACCGTGAGCATGAATGAACGTTTGATTTTTAGTTCGTAAGTTGCAACATATTTATACAAAATTGATACTTAATGGAAGTTAACTTTGTTAGGTTCCGATAAAAATAATGAATGGTAATTTTGGGCTCCTTTTATGGACCAGTAATAAACGTATATTTTTATCGTATAGTTGTTAAATAACTAAACTATTCATATTCCTCTTATTATAAATTTTATTTAGACCTATGAACCATTATTACACGTTTTACCATTCTTGAATTATGCCTGTCTATTAGTCACTACCTCCCAAATTCACAGCCACATTTGACCAAATCTTGTACAAATGTTATTTTCTATTTTATGGTACGATGTGGTCTGTTTGATTGGTATATAAACTCAGTATGTTTGAAATATAATGATTCATATTGCAGAGGCTGAGACTGGTGTTCTGGACTTAACTGGCTGGGCTAGGCGGAAAGCAGGGCCAATCAGGACTCTAGGCTGCTCGCACGTGTTTTACGCGTCCTTGGTCCGATCGATAATTTGCTGCTTCTGATCGGCGGCTTTGGGTTATAGCAAACTTCCATAGAAATTTATAATCTACAAGGTAGAGCAGATAATATGTGTATATAATAACTATCAATAAGGCCACTTGATTCCATAATTTATTGTCCTTCATTATTAGTGATCTTAATTTAGGTGTATGTTCTTACATAGACAAATGGTCGAATTAAATACACCTTAAATTTACGTATCCATAGCCTATTCAATAAATATCCTATTTAAACTTCTAAGGTCATCAAGCTTCGACATTACGCGACGAATGATTAAATGCAATATACTTAAGTGCATATCACCTTCAAAACAGTTTGACCATAGTTTTCACTCATTAATCAGCAAACTGTATGTGGTAATGATAGAGGGTCTCTAGATCAAGACGGTCAGCTTTCAAATTTGGGATTGGTTGTATACATGTTTCTGGCCCTCATTTTAATCACTATACTGGATCATCCTCTTAATTTACCATAGTTAGCTCTCTCCAATTTTATTTGTCCTCCAAATGTAAAGTGTCTAAAAAGAGGCAAAACTGAAACCTCCAGAAGATTCTAAGATCTGAGTCAACTATGTAGTTAAAGTATCCAACGATTAAAGACTTTCAGGGTTTTCGGAAATAAACGTCAACCAAGGAAACTGGTAGGTAAGAAATAAAAATAATAGGGGAAAGCCAAACAAACCATTTCGGACAATAACTCAACATTTTCAGGTTCATTTTAATGCAAGTGTCTATTATATTTGAACGTATATAAGGAGTTTCAACCTTCGTATGGCTAAAGCTTCAGTAAACCCATTCATTCGCCCTAGACAACTTTTATACAAGACCAAAACGTGCCGTATTAAGATCGATTTTATAACCTAATTTAACACTTGATAATATATTTGTACTGAATGTCTGTACAAAGAACTGAGTTCTTATTGCTACACACGTTGCATTTTAGTCCAATTGGAAATTTGTTTAACAGAATAAGAGTGATTAAGGACAATTTAAGTTTATTCGCATTGTTCAAGATCTCGTTAATGGCAAAATTAACTAAAGTTGAAATATGTATTATACGTATTCTAAAGAATAATTTATGTTATGTGAGATATGATAATCAATTTTCAACGTAATGATTTATTTTAGATGTATCATATAATTCATTTGCTAGTTCTTTATGACCGAATGGTGTTATGAGCTATGAAATCGCTTTCGATTTTTACATTTTAAATTTAGATTTGATTTTACAAAGAAAATTGGATAGGCAAACACGGATAGTGGCTTGCAACGGAATCCAGGCGCGCGTTTCATTCTATTTGAGACTTGTCAGCTGGATGTACCTGAATCTCAGAATTGATGTTCACTCTGAGACTCGAACCCAGTACCATTCGCTTCAAACGCCATCGCGTTATTCACTCAGCTACTGAGTCCTGATAACCACGTGTTTGTGCAATGGAGTGAATTTAAATTCACTTGCTATTGTTTTACTTGAATCTTCCCATTGAGGTTTAAGACTGTAATTGATCATTTTATGGCTGAGTGGGTAACGTGATGGCGTTTGAAGCGAATGGTACTGGGTTTGGGTCCCAGAGTGATCAACTCTGAGATGCAGGTAGATCCAGCTGATAAGTCCCAAATAGAATGAAACGCGCATCTTGGATTCCACTGCTAACCACTATCCACCATTGTTTACAAAAAGCTTGTGAATTAAGGCAATATCGAAACAACACGCACAGTATGCACATATGTCAATAAGAGACTGATCATTTTCAGTATTAAACCACAATGGGAAGATTCAAGCAAAACAATTCCGAATGAAAATTGGATGGATTTTTAAATTTATCTCATTTTGTAAATTCTTACTTGATTTGTCATATCATGTTATGTTTTCATTAGTTTCCTCAAATATAAAATGATTTAGTTCTCACAATCCTTATGTCATTGAAGGTAGTCATACATACTCCGGTTGATTTGTTTTCAGTAATATATTATTCATTTAATCTTATAATGACACTATCATCTCTATTCACGTCGTCTTTTAGACTTTATTTCATTAACTGTTTTCTGATGATGCTTAAATCGTAACTAAACTAATGATGTTGAAAGCATAGCGAGTAAAGTTCCATTCATCATATTATCAGAACTTAATTAATCAATCAGTTTCAAAAACATCTGCTTACATAAACATGTATTTTGTTTTAAATAATGTTTCAAAAACATATTTTTCTTTCTGTTACGAATCAAAGTCACTGGATTAACAATAACTTGAGAGTAATGAGGTCAAAATGATGCTATTTAATATAGAGGAAAAAACAAGATCAACTCCGTTGTCTAATTGCTCTATCGAAATTTATAAAACGGACTAATTGCTTTAGATTAAAATATGATTTCTTTTTTTGTATGCTGACAGCTGATACTGTCCAAACAAAATGATAAAAAGCCGTTTCATAAATTAAAAAATAATTTCATAGAATATTTAAGGACAAAGAGTATTAAAGTAAATGATCTAGTTGTATATTTTATGAATAGTTTAGTGATTAAACAGTTGTCTTTGTCTTATTTTCAAATAAACTTAACCTCTTCAAACTAACATGACAAATTTATTTTAAGGGGAAATATTTATTTAATTCAGTCATTAGATAATTTTCATTTATATATAATGTTATTTTGTAACATGTGCTCACTAGTAATCAACTTAAACAAGAATGCAGTTGCAGAGGGAATCTGAGACCTCTAGGGTTCAAAATATCTGGTATCACAAACGATTGTGATGGACGATGATCATGCAGTATCGTTAAATGACTTAAGTTTGAGGAATGAAGAGTTGGGTCTAAACTCAATAATTCTAAATTAAAACGTGTGCTCCTGACAAGGTCATGGGTGCTTATTACTATGGAGTTTCATGTTAGGATGAAACAAAGGTCAATAGCCCCTTCATTTTTCACATTTGTTCAGCTAAATTCTGCCTATGATTTGAAGTAACTTCAAATAATCAAAGCTGAAAAAATCCATTTACTACAACATTCGCAAATACAGTTGTACGTAAAACAAATAAACGTTTTAAGCCAGGTATTTTTCATGATTGTTTTAAAGTCAGATCTTTAAAGATGATTAAAGAGTGTGAAGATCCAGGTTTTTCACTCTTGATTTTCAAAAAACAATAACAAATGTATTATGATTGAGATCATGAACTGATTGATGTTAGACCATCAATCAAAACCAGGGAGCACCGGACGGCCATTTTATCCTATTGTGGGACTCCTCAGCAGTTCGTATTCACAAAACCCGCCCGCGGGATTCGAACCCAGGGCCTTCAGTCTCGCGCGCGAACGCTTAACCTCTGGACCACTGAGCCGGCATCCAATGGTGTTAATGTCTAACCTCAACCAATCCACAACTTTATTATATAACTTATTTTCACTCTACTAACCACCTCAAATGTTCAAGATGAACTACTTATTTTCTCTCGCATCACGTATTAGTCTCCGTAAAACAACTTAGAATCACTGTTCATGGTAAAAAGTGTTATTATGATGAATCAGTATCAGCTGTAGACGTTAGCGAAATCAGAAAACATTAGAGATTCTCAACACCGTTATTTACTTGTACTCAGATGTATACACTCAAGGTCCCTCACAGTATCATCAAATTTCATAATTTAACATTTTTTACAACAGTTTATCTAAACGATTCAGTACTAAGACGGTATAATGTCATTTGTGCATGACTGTGCTACACCCAGTTTAGTTGATCGTGAGTTACCAAACCTCTTATTCAGTGTTGCTTAAAAGTTTCGAATTCTAAATGCTTGTAGTCGTCTTGTCTTGAACGACAATCTAAAAACAACTATAAACCAAGACTTTATTTGTAACAAATTAAGTCACTCCACATATATAGTTGCCACTGATTGACTGACTTAATCGAGGTCATTCCTTCCTACTGACAAAGTATTTAAGGTACTTAATTCATTAGTTAGTTCCTTATCACACACATACAGGAGCACCCTTTTTTCAAAATCTTTTATGGTTATACCAAGGTAGTTTAATCTTAAATAAACCTGATCAAATGTTTTGTAATTTTTTTTATCGATAAAAAGACAATATAAAATTCATTTAATATGGACGAATAATTTATTTGTTTTATCTTTTTCAAGTTTATTTAAGTATGATTGGTTACTTCATGATAAGATGACAGTTCGGAAATAACCAATAATATGATTGGTAAAGTTTCCATATTATCCTAAAACATATTGAATAAAATTAATTTTAAAAAAAAGATATGGGAAATGGTATCTATGGGCTTTAAATCAAATTAACATCTTCTATAAATCCAATTTATGCACTCTATTATATTATGATTTATAATCCTATACATATTCATCTTACATAGCAACTTATTCAAAATAGATTAGAGTTGTTATGACTTTAACAACTTTATTAGCTGGATATAAAATTCATAGTTTAAATTTTCAACCTAATAAGGATATAATATCATATGTGACAATTTTATTGTTACTATGCTGTCATGCAAATACTGATAACCCTATAAATACAACTAATAATGAACATCAAGAAAAGACTTTATTGAATTTAACATTATTATTAAATGATAGTGATCAATTAAATAATAAAAAGTTTAATGATTGTTCAATTTCTTTAACAGAATTTATTATTTATTTTTATATTCAACCTATAATTTGTTTTATTGGATTTATATTGAATATATTGAATGTGATTATATTTTGTAGACCACAATTTTCAGGAGCTGCTTATGCTTATATGATTGCAATGTCATTAGCTGATGCAATTACATTAATTAGTTATATGCCATCTGGTTTGGTTAGGTAGGTTTGTGTTTTAATATGAATATATACAATTATTTATAAGTGTTTTTTTAACCCATCAGATATAGCCTCTTTTTTATTTTCATAATTGATATTCGAAAAACAGTAAAAACTAATGACCAATAACTTTGAACTTTAAAGAGCTTATTACAAAGTGAAATGATTTTACCAGGCCGAAGCCATATGATTTATGTTTCATATTTTGGATCGAATATGAAATAGCGCGTCCCTGATCGTTTGTCATATTTTATTAACCGTTTCACTATTTAGATCCCTGCTGTCCACTAGAACTTTGATGAACTTTTCTTAAAACTGAATAATACTGAATATGTAATTGAGCTCTAACTTTGTATGAATAGTATAGACCCTACCGTTTAAACTAGAAATCTTGTTCTTCATTCTAATTACGGCTATGGCTTCATACAGTTTTAAAATAATACGAGTTTTCTTACTAGTGGTTCTTGATTCCCGATGATCTTAACAGCTGAGCTCAATTTAGTGATAAAACTTGTCTTGATTGATTCATATTGAGTTCAAGATGTTGATATAAAAATATTGAGTGTTACGAAAGTTAATAGACTTAAAATACCTAACTTCAAATAAACTTCGGCAAACAAATAAGAATATTATTAAATCTTTAGACTTAATGCTTGTGTTTGTTAAAATCCATCAAATAAGTATTATTTAGCCTATGAAAGTTTAATACATTATATTTGTCAGATTACTTGTTTAAAAACTTCCATATGAGTAGACCTTTCTATTGATTTTATGGTAGTACTTGTTCATTTTTCCAAATTATTTGTCTTCACTAATTTTGGTAGACCAACAGGAAGTAATATTTTTTTCCAGAATTTGATTACATCATTACGAAGGGTATTTTATCAAGGATGTTATTAGTTTTAATGTCATAACGTAAGATTAATAATGAAAACGATAACAGCAACAATAAATACTCTCTTCAACGCTATACACTTGTATATAAAATGTTATGTAGCGAAATTCTCTATTGAAATTTCTCATCTTACATACATTTGATCCATAAACCCCAATCTAATCATCCATAATTTATTCGGTGAAAAGATAAAAAAGAAAGTATACCAACCATTGTCATAATTCAATTTCAATTCCAAAGTGTTTATTGTCTATTTGTTTTCTGAGCTTTATATTAAACTCACAAGCTGAAATCATGTTATTAGCATATAAGAATAGTTGATTGAAGCAAATTTAAAATATTAAATGTAACATTTACCCAGGTAAAAAATAAAACATTCAAATATATGACCAAGATATTTGTCTTCACTTTTCTATCCCTAGGAATTCTGCTTATGTTCTTCTAGTTTTCCTTTACATTCTCAACATGTGACCTTGAATGAAATCATACGAAATCCTGAGGACTTCCGATATATATATATATATATATATATATATATATATATATATATATATATCTTAAGTAAAGCGCTCATCTAATGGCTGACACATCTATTTTTATTCATAAGTTGACGACAGCTAGAATATCATTGGAAATCGGCAAGATTTGAACAACTTTTGACCATGCATGGGATTTCTCAAAAAGTCCTAGGAATCGAACCATAGGAATTCGAGTCGATAGTGAGCATTTAGATACCAGACCACAGTTGAAGCTCAATATGGGATCGCTGTACTAGTACAAAAGATAAACCGAAGACATAAACAGTAGACAAAGACATGTAAAGTTCTTTACTGCCATTAATAATTTATTAAGTTCTTCACCAAGAAATATTTACTACCAAGAGCATACGAAAATAAAAATCATTCACTGTGACCGGATTGCTCTCATCTGCTGGAATCGCCGGGTAAGAAATAGTTAGGTTAGACGCAAGGTATTAGGGGATGATGGTAAATTAGTTGTTGAGGTTGTGAATCTTCGTCGACTGAGATGGTTGGGCTACGTGGTACGTATGCCTAAATCCTGATTACCGTGACGCACAATGCTGACTAGTGTTTGAGATGGTCAAAATAAATTTAGGGGCAGCCAAACTAAAACGTGGCATCAGGGCTTGAAGTCACTAACTTTTGATTTGAGCCATGTTGGTGGATGCAGACTACGTGGTTGGGATCCGCATGACTATCATAACCAACGCTTGAAGACTATGGGTGACATGGCTTAAATCGATCACAATATTGTAGGTGTATACGCTCTCTGTCTTCCCTTAAACTATGAGATTAAAATTACCTTCTACCTTTATTTCAACGAACTAATTCTTTATTCCTGTACTATATCCTTATATGTAATCTTTCTTTAATATATTACCACCATTGAATTAACTACTTTTATGAATTCGGTGCTCATCTTGTTGTGCTAATGAAGTATGACAACATGAACCGATGCATATATGTGCCTGGTCCTAGGTTATAACCGACTGACTGACTACCACCCGTAATCTATTATTCGTTTTACAGCCTTAACAAATAACGTCTCTATGCTATCAAGACCTCTGAAATTTCCGGATTTCTCACCGTAATTGTTTTTTTTCCTGTCAAAACAGATCATACCCTATAAAAGGAATATTTCTATCAAATATTTATATACTTAATTTATAAAAACAAAGGTTTTTATTTACGAATGTTATCTATAAAATAATAATAATAATAAACATATTCATTGCAATAACAGTCTAAGAATATTCTTATAAATGTTGCTCATTATTAAGTTAGTAAATATAATAATATTTCTCACCACCGAAACCCAATCTATGATATATCAAAGCATACATATTCAGATTGCTAATCTTATCTATACAATACTAATCAAGCATGTGAATAAATATTTATGGATAGAAGGTGTTTATGTCTTTTCTCGGACAAATAATAATAAGAAAAAGATAAGTGTGTTTTCCTTTTTTTCCCTTCTGTTTTTGTCAAACTGTAAACTAATACTTAACGTTTATAGTTACCGTCATTGTTTATTTGTTGTTGTTGTTTAAATTGGAGGGAAAATTCAAATTCATTGTGTAACCATTACAAATAAATGGATAAATTATACACACAAAAAGAAATACATTTGATTATGATCGTGATATATTCAATCAAAATAATGATAAGAATTTAGGAAAAATGATTGATAGAAACCAATAAATTTATACTAGACTTCCTTATTTAAAGTAATCCATCTGAAGTAAACAAATGGATTTAAAAAAAGGTACTTTTTGTTTTCTTGGGAAAATAAAAGAAAAGAATATCAAAGAACATTCCGTTTATAACATTGAACTTAGTTGATTTATTTGTTTGATTAAATTGGAAATATAATAAATGTACTAATACATGAATGTAATATAATAAACACTTATTGCACATCATATTATTAGTGCCGTTAGTTATATCAGTAGTAACATTTGATTTATATTGTGTTTTGATTAGTGAAACTCAAAAAATTACTTTTTTATAAAATGTTAACTCAGACGTTAACACGGTTAAACACCAACTCAATGATCTAGAGGTGAAGCGTTCACGCATGAGACCGAAGGTCCTGGGTTCGAGTCCCGTATATGAGATCATGTATATATACTGCTGGAGAGTCACATACTTAGAAGAAATGCATATCCAGTGTTTCCAGGTTTTCAATGGTGGTCTAACATTAATTGCCTCATGATCCCGTTTAAAAATCGACAATTTCCACGACCCTATACTGAAAGTGTTAACAGATAAATAGTTTGGTGCATGCTGCTTACTCTGACAAATTTAAGTAGTATGTAGCAGCATTTTTAATTACAATGCCTGCCAGCAGATTGAAATAAATAGAATAAGAAAGGAAACAAAATACTTTTTTAATTATTTATATTATAGAGGGACCGTGGCTAGCAGTAAATTTCAGAATACGGACAACCCATTGATTTTTGGAGTTAAAAGTACTGGGTTCAAGTTTCAGTATGTACATCAACATTGAGATACTGGCACATCAAATTGACTAGTCCTAAACAGAATAAACGTTACATCCACTTCCAGCCATGATCCATCAATTGATTTCATATGATATGACAAAATAGCCCTATTGTGACTATCTACCAATAGAGGCTGATCAGAATTTACTGCTGAATCTAAACAAATAGGTCGTATTTTCTTGATCCAAATTGTTACTCAAAGTTTATAAAAATTTCAAAGTTTAATTTTCTAATTTCATCAAAGTGTTTATAAAGCTGATATTGCAATTAACTTGTCTTAACGATCAGATGTGAAAAAATACTACAAAATGTATTTTCCTGATTTTAAGTTTCCCCGAATTATTAATATGGTATCATATCGAAAGTCAAGCATCAAATACATACCTGATGAAGCAGTGTCACCAAAGATAAAAATGATAAATGTTTTGAAGTGAAGACATATTACAACTAAGTAGAGTCGAAAAAGATATATATATATATATATATATCTTCAGCATCCATAAACTGAATAGATATGAAAAAAAGAATTTAGTGTTTATTTTCTGGTCAGAATTGTATATTGTAACGAATTATGAACTAACGAAAGTTTAATTATTATTTATATCTTTGAGCAAAGAGATTGATTTATACTGAATTAAGTTATCTGAATCAAGTCCTGAACAATCTATCTAAAAGAGCAAGATTCGGGCTTCCCTATATAGAGAATGACATCGGTATAAACTTTAGAAAACCGAACTTCTGTATCCAAAAGCGGTATATTTATTCTTTCTGCTTACTGTGGCCCATGGTTGGGCCACTGCACACTTACACTATATAAAATAAACTCTTACTTCTTACGTAATTGTTTTTATGACGTATCCTAGATATACTTAATCCTTAACTGATGCAAAAGTTCACAATCTTACAATATGACATTGTTTAATTTATATATTTATATACGTCTTGTTGTTTTGGCCATCTGAATAATAATTATGCATTCAAAATTATGGAAACTAAAACGAAGTCATTGTAAACAACTGTTTACTCAAAAATTGTATATTTCTGAATATTGTATAGGGACATTTAAACTAGTATGTTATATACA